CTCACCTGCTCCCCCCCTGCCTATCTGCTCTCTATTTACCACCACCCGCCTTCGATGAAGCACCTGGTGTATCTTAAAAGGACACATTTAGCAATAAATATTTTGTACCTACAGAAACAACATTTCAGACAAAAGCATCTGGCTGCTCACCTCAGCCCATAGTTAACAGGTGGATGAGATGTCAGCATTCGAGCTCAACAGGCAGATCAAGTTGTTGTCTTACAGTCACTACTATTGGTAAACAGCTTTAGAGAGTATGTTGTTACTACTTAACAGACAAAATTCTTTTGGGAATGCTTGCCACAAGCTCTCATTTTAGCCTATAACTTGCAATGAATTTTCAAGTCTTCAAAAACAGGCAAGCTGAGATAAGCTGCAGAAAGACAACAGGTGCCTGCGGAACTGCAAGCCACACGCAAGCGTCGATCCTAACACTAACACACCCATCTTCATGTACCCTTCCGAGACTTGACAGGTTATTACCAAACACGACCACCACAGAGCAAAACCAGCTAACAAGGAAGAGAGATACCCATTTAATGGCTCTTAGACCCCTTTGCTCATCAGGTAAAATCACGGTTCTGATGAACCACAAAAAAAAAAAAAAAAGGTCTTATTTCCTTCGAAGAGCTCCGGACCTCAGCCCAGGCCACGCACTTGAAGGGAACCGAGCCTCGGCCCGTCCCCACGCCGCAGGGCCCACAGACCCCTCCTCCTGCGTGGAGGCCAGCAACGCCCCGGCCCCGCAGGACGCGGGGCACGGCACAGCTCAGCCCCCGCAGCACAGCCCGCGGCGGCGGGAAGCCGCGGGGCGACACGTCCTCAGCTTCCCGGCTTCCCCACGAAGCGGCAAAGAGCCGATGAACTGCGATCAGGGCGACGCACCACAACTTTACCACAGCGTTATTTTTTTCGGGGAGGAGGAACCTTGGGCCGCCCTTCCCCGGGGAAGCGAGGCGAGGGCCGGCGGCAGCGCACACGGCCCCGGCCCCCCGAGCCCCGCAGCAGCCCAAGGGAGGGGGAGCAGCTGGGCTCCGCGTCCCGCCCGTCGCCCCCCGAGGGCCGCGCTGCTGTGCGGGCAGAGCCGCCGCCTCGCGGCCGCGGGGCAGGAGGAGGCCCCGGCCCCCCCCGGCCTCCCTCACCGCGCCGCGCGCCCACCTACCCACGCGAAGAGCACCGGCTCCATGGAACCGGCG